TTTCTGTAGGCTGTTTTCAATTTCCTGAGGGAGGAGCTCAGTAAGTTGCAGTCTGGCTTTCCTGTAATCAAAGAGTAAAAAGGATGTAAGTTATCTATTTCTTAGTTCTTACAGAGATTTAAAACAAAAATTATTTGTCTTACTTTCCGTGCTTTGGTAGGCAACTTATGAGCAAACACTATTCCTTGTGTTTCATATACAATGACTTTTCTCTCTCCTGACCTGTTCCACTCACAAGCCAATCATGCATGATTCCCACATTATCAAAACGGATGGTGTTATGGTGTAGGAAGCCATATGTACTCAGGAGTACTAGACAGCATCTCATTATGCTCATCTTACATAGAATCTGCACAGAGTCTGCACTAAGTCTGAATACCCTACCCAGTAAATAGAGATTAGTGTACCTCAGGAAATGACCAGGTGGAATACACAAAAATTTTCATGCTCCTTCCTCAGTGACATCCCATTCATTAACAGCCACTATGTCTATTCAATTCCTCTGTGCCTACTGCAAGAAGGAAAAAAAAAATTTTTGGCACTGGAGATTGAACTCAGGGGCACTTGGCCAATGAGCCACATCCTTAGCCCTATTTTGTATTTTATTTGGAGACAGGGTCTCGAGACTGAATTGCTTAGTGCCTCGCTTTTGCTAAGGCTGGCTTTGAACTGGTGATCCTCCTGCCTCAGCTCCCAAGCTGCTTGGATTACAGGCATGCGTCAACATGCCTGGCTGATGTATAATTTTTGAATGTAGGAATTTAACATGTTTTGTATTCCTATAGATGTAAACAACATAGGGGCTACCACTTTTTAAACAAGCCAAGTAAAGCCCCTTGATGTGTATTACTTTTAAGTAATTTCGTATGTAGTCAAGAACATAGGAAAAGAAAAATATGCAACCAAATGAAACTTTAGATTACAAAGTATCTAAAGAAAGATCCTCACCAAATTGAAATTAAAGTTAGTGCCTTTCATGTTTCTTTTCTCCTTAATTAAAGAGAATAAGACCAAGAAGAGTAAACTTTTCTTACCCAGGTATAATGACATGACTTGCCTGTCATCCCAGCAACTTGGGAGGCTGAGGCAGGAGGACTGCAAGTTCAAAGCAAGCCTCAGCAATTTAGCAAGGCCCTAAGCAACTTAGTGAGACCCTGTTTTGAAATGAAAATAAAAATTGCTGGGGAAGTGGCTCAATAGTTAAGAGCCCCTGGATTCAATCCCTAATACCAACCCCACCCCCCCAAAAAAAACAAAAAAAAACCTTTTTTGTGTTGGGTGTCAAGTTAGAGTACTTGGGTCAGCAGAGCATCACCCACCAAACAGCTACAATTGGAAAGCCAGATCCCCTAGTCTTAACATCTCCTTACCATTCTTCCTGTTTCAGCTCATAGAATGCCTTTCGATCCTTCTGTTTTCTCTCCTGAACAGTCTCACCATAGTACTTCTGAAGTGCCATCATCAGGCCTCCTACAGGAGTGCTGAGGGAAAGTGGAGAGAAAGCTTAGGGAAAGAGTCCTCAGACCCCATGACATGTGAGCAACTCTACTAAGTAATAGCACTGATCCACTTGTTCACTATCAGATAAAAGAACTTTGATAATTAAAGCATCTTTGTTAATGTACTTAACATCACTGAACAGTACACTTAAAAATGGTTAAGA